CGTAATTTAAACATATTGAAGGAAAAAGCTTAACATGGACCGATATTGATTTTTTCCAGTAGATAAAATGATTACTTAACAAGTAAAAAAATGTCAGTCGGTGTTGGCGACATAGATATGCCCTCAGCCTACGGTTCGCTTCAAATTGAATTTACAATTTTATATTGATCCTCTTGTGGGGGAGGTGCCTGAAGTAGAGCACCGATGACTTGGCAAATAGGTTATGCAAAGTTGGGTTCAAATCGGACATTCTACTCGCCTAATATTTTATTTTTATTTATTTAAAATTTTGACTATTTGTGGGGGAGGACCAGAATAAGTGGATCAATGGGTTCCATCTTCCGCCTTGATCTAGGTTTCACAAAGATAATAAGTTGTGCAAAGTTTGGTTCTAATCGGATATTCCATTCGCCTAATATTGGATCTAAAAATATTGAAAATGTTGACTAACTGGTTCAAATCGGATATTTTATTCGCCTGATATTGGATTCGTAAATATTTAGAATGTTACCCATTTGTGGGGGAGGTACTAGAATAGTGGACCAATGGGTCCCATCTTCGTGCTCGATCTAGGCTTGGTGAAGATAATAGGTTGTGCAGAGTTTGGTTCAAATTGGAAATTCCAATAGCCTAATATTGGATTTGTAAATATTGAGAATGTTGACCATTTGTGGGTGAGGTACCAGAAGGAGTCGATCAATAGGTTCCATCTTATTACTTGATCTAGGTTTGGTTAAGATAATAGGTTGTAAAAAGTTTGGTTCAAATACGATAGCCCGTTCGCATGATATTTTGTGGGAGGAGAAATATTGCGATGTGCAAAGTTTGGTAGAAATCGGTTACTTCCTTTAAGAGTTATCGTGCGCACAGATGGGCGGACATTTGTAAGTCGACTCCAAATTGTCTGAAACTGATTAGGTCCAAAGAAACATGGTGTTTGAAATCAATAAAAAAATCGATATTTCGACGATGCACATTCTCATAACAAATTAGATTCGGTAGGAAAATGTGATTAAAAGACCTAAACTGTAGAAAATTAGGGGTACCGTTGTATGGGGAACGATTTTTCACCTAAAACCAGTAAGGAAAGTAGTAAAGTCATTGGTGGACCATTTACATTAAATCGGAGGAAAATATATATGGGAGCTATATCTAAATATGAACCGATTTTCAGGAAACTTAACACACTTAATTCTAGACCTAATTTATTACGCTGTGCCAAATTTCGTGCAAATCGAAAGATATATAGGGACTTTGGTGGACCATTTACATTAAATCGGACGAAACTATATATGGGAGCTATATCTAAATCTGAACCGATTTTCAGGAAACTTAACACACATCATTCTAGACCTAATTTATTACGCTGACCCAAATTTCATGCATTTGTCCTTTCGTGGGTTCGTCCTTGGATGAAACAAATGAGCTCTAGGCACTTTTCAGTACGCTGTGTCGAATTTCGTGAAAATCGAAGGACATATAGGGACTTTGGACGAAAATATATATGGGAACTATATCGTAAATGTTTATACTTGTACACAAAAATGTCTTGGGTGGGCCAAATCCCCTTAGCCGAGTAGAATTTAGTGATGTTTGGGTCAAAAATCAGGCAAGAGCGATTTTGTTTTGATTTTTTCCATACCATAAATGATATATATTTTTTTTATATTGTTCTATAATATACGAGTATATATTTTTATAATATGAAATTTGAATATGTTGTATATTTTTTTATTTCCAAACCATTGTTCATTAGTAAAAAAGTTAAAGCTCAAAAACAACTACAACTAAAGCAGGGCTAAGAGAACTACTGATGATTACGATGATTGCTAATGAGTTTTGCAACCAAAAGGAAAAAATACAACAAAAAACTGAAATAATTATGTAATTAATTACCGCAAGAAATATAAGTGAAGAAGAAAAAAGAAACAATTACAATTAATGAAAAATATCCAAACGAACAAAAAAGAGATAGTGAAGAACTGAGGATAAAAACCAAAGTAAAAGAGAACAAAAGATATTATCAAAATGTGTTGCCTTTTTGTTATATAATTAGTTTTATTCCATTGTTTTTGATTATTAATCTATTTTAATAAATATATATGTAATTTATTTAGTTATTTGCCATTTGTTTGCGTGAGTGTGGATGTGTGTATCCGTTAATAATTATTAAAGCCATTTGATGTTAATTTAGTCTTGTTGTTGATGTTTTAAAACATTTGTAATGTTTTTTGTTTTTGTGTTGTGATAGTTGAGCAAGATATAAAAGAGTAGTGAGTGAGAGAGCGATAGATTTTGTTTGTATATAAATCGAAAAAAGTTGAAAAATGAACGATTCCAAATATCCATTAGTAATCGCAATCGATGTGTGTGTATGTTCGTTTATGTGTGATAAGTTTGCTGATTCCTCGCAGGTGTTTGCGTTTGTTTTGTTTAATTGATGTGTGATAATGATTTGCGTTTTAGTTTCCAATAACCTTTCTTGTCATTACCAGCTAAATTATATACTGCAAAGTTTGGTTTATCTTTAAAATTAATGAAATCGTAAAAAATGAAAGTTGTCAAAGAAATAAGCATTTTTTAGAGTATTACACAAAACACAAAATGTTTTCGATAAATAAAATTACTCGACTGCCGTTACAAATAATATGTTGATGTATGTGTGTATGTGTTTTGTATGTTTTAAGCTCGATCTATTTGAGTATATATTTTAGATATTATTATATAGAAATAGTTTTTGTTTAAATACCTTGAATTTGTTATTTAAATAAAAATATTATATAATTTTAAAACAAATAAAATAAAATAAATAATAAAAATAAATTAAATAAAACTTATTTTAAACTGAGAATAGAAAAGTAGAGAAAATTTGTTTTTGCGTCTCAATTTTAATATCAGAGTCATAGACCCCCCGAAGTAGGTGCTAAAATTCCAGATTTCATATAAAATCAAGAAATCTTATTACACATAAGAAATTCTGGCTAAATTGTTGGTGAATTTTTACATATATTTTTAATGTGAAGACTTCGATTTTGTGACCAAAATATGAACTATAACTCAAAATTTATGTTTACCATAATTATAAAGGTGTTAAGACTAATTCGGATTCTCCATTCGCATTATATGAGATATATGTCGAACAAAATCGGACACCCCATTCGGTTCACATGAGGTTTCAGAAGTTTTTATTAAATATTAACCCTTTTTTTGACCAATAGGAGTGGACCGATATAGGTGAGACTTAAAATATTTCAAATGATGACTCTTTATAAAGAGGTTGATCCTATTTGTGGAAGTACTGATATGCGAGGACCGATAAGTTCGACCAACAGACTTCCAATATTCTATTCGCACAAGTGAGCTTTACAAAAGTTCAAATATTGACTCTTTGTGGAGGAAGTACACGTAGGAGTCCCATTTGACTTTGTGAGATATGTGCATACCATCGGGTCCGATAGAGAATCCGTCTGTCTTTTGAAATCACGATACAGATCGAAATTTTTTCAGATCTATGAATATGTACGCATATATTTAGTATACTCATACTATGTTGCAGAAAACAGGATATATCGGATCATCTGAGCATAGCCATAGAGAGGTATCGCCCCGTTTTCGCCATTTGAAGGTGTATGCCGAAGGAACTGTAATAGGTACATAGGTACATAGCCTCCCAAAAAATGTACCGTTCCATTTCAGGTATATGCATGGCACTAGCTATATTCGATATGTTCAAGATCCTAGACAAATTCCATGTCGATTTTTTCATGTCCGTCGACTTATAGGCCTTTAGTTTTGAATGTTTTGGTATAGCTTCTATATAATAGTCCGTCCTATTTTCGGAGTTTCGAAAGTTTAACCGTTGTATTACATCGAAAAGGATGTTATTTGGTATTCCAGATTTTAGGAGGCTGAAAAATCTGGATCACATACGATAATCCTGTGCGAAAACGATCGTGGCCAAGAATCGGCGAAGCATCTCAAACAGTTGCCAAACCAGGACTAACGGTCAGAAAGGTTCTGCTATTTATTATGGGTTGCTTCCATATCTCCAAACGCTAAATTCTGATCTCTACTGTCAAGATATCAATTCAACAGAATCAATTCAACAGAAATGACCAGAATTGACCAACAGGAGAGGTGTCGTGTTCCACCAGGACAACGCAAGGCCCCTCGGACCGTTTGAAGATATCAATTCAACAGAAATGACCAGAATTGACCAACAGGAGAGGTGTCGTGTTCCACCAGGACAACGCAAGGCCCCTCGCCAGAAACTTCGGTAGCTTGGAAGTTTTAATGCGTCCGCCATACAGTCCGGACTTGGGGATTTTTATCTTTTTGTTGTATTGCAAAATTTCTTTAATAATAACAAATTGGTATCTAGGGAGGATTGTGAAAATCGATTACTGGATTTTTTTTGCTAATAAAGAGCAGGACTTCTATAAGAAATTATAGAACATTTTTCGTAAAAGAAAACATTTCGTATCCCTACATTGACTTATCAAACTTGTATTGCTTATTCTTTGGCCAGGTTCCCTTCCTCGTATAAATAAAAAGAAAGAGGAAAGAAAAAGAAATTTTGTGGTCCATTTCATCCCCTAAATATTAACCGATCCTTGGTCATTTCGCGACAATTGGTCCACATGTCTAGATCGACCAACATGAGTCGATAAGACACACAAAGCAAAAATAACCTTACAACATAGGGTATAAAAATCACCAACAATTTTGCTGACCCGTATGTGTCAAAATTGTTACACATTAAAATCATGAAATTAGATTAAGTTCGAAATTCTCAGTAATCGATGAGTTGAAAAAATATGTACTCCTCTGTCATGTTCATAATTTAAAAAATAACTTAAATTTAACTTAAAACTTCTAAATATAATAAATAATATTCCCTTCGTACTGGAAAAAAAACTATAACAATACACATAACTGAATACTTAACTAAATAAAAGAAACGAATAATAGAAACAAAAAAACTAAATAATAATAATCACCTGAAGGATAAACCGATGACGAAGAGGAAGAGGTGCTGACGCCACCACTTGTCTTCTTCCTGCAAGTTGGATATTGGCCGCAGTCCTTGCCATCGCGTTGATTATAACTACAAGAATCCGATGTAATTACACACTCCTCGTTGGGCAAACAACCGATGTCAGCACAACCGCGTCCATATTCTATTGTCATTTGGAATCCAGAATGGAGACAGTAGCGAGGTAATAGTAATAGTTGTAGCAGTAGTAGTAGTAGAGAAAAGTTTTTTTGTTTATGTGTTGGTGGTCGTGGATGATGAGGTATATAGTTCGTTCGTATTTATTGTTTTTTTATTTTTGTGACACAACAATAAAGTTTTCATTAAAAGGATTTGTAGAGGAGATGAATGTGAATGAGTAGTCATTTTTCATCATAAAAATGGGGGTTTTGTTGTTGTTGTTTTTAAATATTATTAATGGCAACACAATTAGGTGGATTTTTTGTTGTTGTTTTGTAGTTGTCGTATTTGTGTGTGTGTTTGGGATTGCAAATTGTGGTTAAATTAAACATAAAAAAGATACAGGTCCGCGCAGAGAGGATGAAAAGAAAAATAAACAAAAAATAGGAATTTAAATAAAAAATGTTTAAAAAAGTACAAAAATAAGATATTCATAATAATGATCTGATAGTTGATGATGATTTTTTTTTGTTGATATAAAACAACATTTAGGATTAGTTTTTTTAATTTATTCTTAAAATGGGATTAATTTTTTGGTTAGTGCTTTTTATATTGGGATAGTTTAAAGGATTTGTGTTTTAGGGATTTTATAGAATTATAAACTGTTTCATAATATTAAAGTTCTTTTATATTATACACCACCAATACCTATTTCCAGATTCTAAATATTACTTTAAGTAAATTTAACAGTTAATATTATTTTCTCTATTTTACGGTCTTAATAATTCGTATAAAAGCGACAATCTTCTACATCAGTCTTACTTATTATCTCTGACGTAAGACAAAAATGAACAGATCAGAGACATATTTTACGAGAGCCGCTGCCCTGGCCATGTCATTAAAATTCTGCTAGGAGATTTTTATGCAAAAATCGGAAGGGAAAATATTTTTGGCCCCACCGTTGGCAAATTCAGCCTCCATGAAGAAACATCAGACAACGGGATGAGGTTGATTGACTTCGCGGCGGCCGAAGAAGAAACATCAGACAACTGCATGAGGTTGATTGACTTCGCGGCAGCCGAAACATGGTAGTTAGCAGCAACATATTCAAACATCTCGATATACACAAGGCCACCTGGATTTCTGCCGATCGAACAACGAGAATCAAATCGACAATGCTGTGATAGACGGAAGGAATTCATCCAGTGTTTTAGATGTTCGAGTGATCCGAGGAGCGAATATCGATTCGGAACGCTACCTTTTAACAACCAAGGTTCGCACAATTTGGCTAGAAGAATGCATGCCCAATGATTGGAACCTTAGGATACTGTGTCCCGAACACAAAAAAGGACACAAGACGATATGTGACAACTATAGAGGATTAAGCCTCCTTCCCGTCGCATATAAAGTGCGATCCCGCGTGCTGTGTGAACGACTGAAACCAATGGTCAATGATATTATTGGACCATACCAATGCCGCTTCAGACCTGGCAAATTTACCATTGACCAAATTTTCACTCTGCGCCTAATCCTGAAAAAGACCCACGAAAAACACATCGGCACTGTCGAATGCGGCTTTATAGTCGAGGAATAGGTGGAATATTCCTCGACTATAAACCCGCATTCGACATCCCTATACATTCAGCGGTGTTAAAAGCCATGTCTTCGTTTGACATTTCTGCAAAATTAATTCGGCTATGCAAGAAAGGACCTCTCGGAGCTGGTTAATACCGACAGTTGGTCGTGTAACACCGATGACATCGACATAATGGGTCGAACATTGAGAGCGGTAACAGCCACCTTTGACAAAATTGGGAAGGAGTCTCCCAAGTGGGTCTGGGAGTAAACGGCGAGAAGATCAAGCTGAGGGTATCAACGCGCAAGACGTCCAGTAGACAGCTTCGAGTTAGTTAAAGATTTTATATATCAGCCATAAATAAAACTAATGACATCAGTTTTGAAATTCGGAGAAGGGTAGTGTTGGCCTACCTCCCGCCAGACAAAACTCACACTCTACAAGACACTGATACTACTCCTGCTGTTATATGCATCTGAAGCATGTGTATTTACGCAAGCGGATGAGGCAGCTCTTGGAGTGTTTGACAGAAAAATTCTCAGAAAGTTCTATGGACCGATCTGCGTTGAACCATTAGCTGTACCATCTATTCTCGGACATCGGTATTGTAGAGCTGCAGCGACTACGTTGGCTAGGTCATGTTGTGAGAATGGATGAATATGCCCAGCCCAAAAGGCATATACAAGCGCACCAGCTGATGGTTCACACAGAAGGGGACGGGCATATACGGCTTAATCGATACTAAAAGGACCCATAGTTTGAAGGGTCACAAACGTTTCATATCTACTATTTTATTATTATTGAATACTATTTAACAACTCCATACGTGTGTGATGGTGTATAACATTCCTCTCAAAATATTCATTATTATGAAACAATTTAATATTTTTTATTTAGCATGCCAATGAAAAATTATCTTAAAAATATATAACAGTTTCTATGGAACGTTTTTCTCTAACAAAAAGATGAAGGAATAAAGGATTAGAATTTCTTTTAGAATTGCAGAATAACATCAAAAAACTGTTTTTTTTTTGCTGTGTGTGGAAAGGGAAATAGGTTTGGTAAACAAGAAGAACAGTAACAAATAAATATATGAAAGAAATATTCTGTTTTTTTCTTCGTTCAAATTATGATTTGTGTTTTTATTTTGTTTAGCGGGCTACTAAAGGATGAAATGTTTAACCCAGCTAAAAAAACCGAAAATAAATTATATAAAATTGTCGAGTACATACTTGAATAGGATTCGACATTGCTGACAACACATAACAGCAAAATGCCGCAGGATAAAAATCCTAAACCGCCCATTTTCTTCAACATGTTACTTAAGTTTCCCGTTCGTTTCGGTTCCTTCCGGGATGTTGTTGGGTTTGCTGCTTTTTCTTGTGGTTTCTGATTTCTTTTACTTGGGTGTTATGATATTTTTTGGTGGTTATTCGCCTTCTGGCAAGCAGCTACTTTCTTGAATTATTACTGCGGTTTTCCTCAGCCAAAGTTTGAAAGTTGTTGTTTTTTCGTCTCACACTCTGAAAAGATAGAAAAAAGAAAGAAAAAATTTACAAATATTTATTATGAAAAACCAACAAAAAAAGTGTTTCTTTAGCATAAGTTTATTTTTGGGTATCCTTAAGTTATGGTGATAGTACAATTAAGAATAACCAGAAATTGTCCATTAGCAGAGTTTGTTGTGCAAGAAAATTGCGAGTCTATTATATATATAAAAATGGACAATTACTTTGGTATATTCATAATAGTTAAATAGCAAATAGGATGTTTTTATACAAATTTTAATATATTTTTGTTTGTTAGTTTTATGTCATTCTGCCCTTATATAAACATGAAGCCTTTATAAAGGGATTTAAAGGATCTATAGTAAAGGCCGAAATGATTTCCCAATGATATTTAAAGAAAAATATCCCAAGGTATGGAGGTCTTTATTGTAAAGTATATGGCCCATGGCTTCTCTAGTCTTTGGAAATTTAAAAAATCCATGCCTTCTAAAGACCTTGGAAACAATATTCTTTAAAAATCCATGCCTTCTAAAGTCCTTAGAAACAATATTCTTTAAAAAATCCACGCTTTCTATAGTCCTTGAAATCATTATTCTTTAAAAATCCACGCTTTCTATAGTCCTTTAAGAAATATTCCTTAAAAAATCCACGCGTTCTATAGTCCTCGGAAAAATGTTCTTTAAAAAATCCACGTTTCCTATAGTCCTTGGAAAAAATTTTTTTAGAATGAATCCACGCTTTCTATAGTCCCTACAAAAAATATTCTTTAAAAAATCCACGCTTTCTATAGGTCCCTGAAAACATATTCTTAAAAAAATCCACGCCTTCTGTAGGTCCCTGAAAAAATATTCTTTAAAAAATCCACGCTTTCTATAGTCCTTTAAGAAATATTCCTTAAAAAATCCACGCGTTCTATAGTCCTCGGAAAAATGTTCTTTAAAAAATCCACGTTTCCTATAGTCCTTGGAAAAAATTTTTTTAAAATGAATCCACGCTTTCTATAGTCCCTACAAAAAATATTCTTTACAAAATCCACGCCTTCTATAGTCCCCGATAAAATATTCTTTACAAAATCCACGCTTTCTATAGTCCTTGAAAAAATATTCTTTAAAAAATCCACGCCTTCTATAGTCCTCGAAAAAATATTCTTTAAAAAATTCACGATTTCTATAGGTCCTGCAGAAAATGTTCTTTAAAAAATTCACGATTTCTATATTCCTTAAAAAATATTTTTTAAAAAATCCACGCTTTCTATAGTCTTTGTAAAAAATATTCTTTAAAAAATTCACGCTTTCTGTAGTCCTTGGAAAAATAACCTTTAAAAATCCACGCCTTCTGTAGTCCTAGGAAACATAACCATTAAAAAATCCAGTCCTTGGAAAATTCCTTGGGAAATTATTCCGTTTATTTGTTTTGTTATAAATGAAAATTTGATTTGATTAATTTCTGCCGCAACCTATACACACACAAAATTGTATGTGTGTCAAAATCTTAATTGAGTTTCGTCACGGCTGGATGCTAAGTACACATATTTCGATACTGATTAATTGTATACCACTTGAATTCTGTTATAAAAAAGCTAAATTTTCCGATGAACAAAGACCGAGAAGGGGAAAGCTGTCAACATAGAGTGGCAGCATCATTCGTTTAAATGCCACAAAAGCCTGACCACGCATATATCAAGTATTGAATACATGCCATTATCACACCCACATTTTGTGTGTGATTGCGACATGACAGCCGAATTATAGGACAGATGGACAGGAAAATTGGCAAACTCGGTAATACATATATACCCCCACAAATACACACGAATTATTTTTGGGACAAACAAACCCAAAACACATTTTCCCCAAAGTTTGTTAAACACCTCTAATGTTTGTGTGTGCGCCTAAAAAATAAATATTTAACTATTAGAAATAACAACAACACCAACAAAGGGGAACACTGGAGAGACAAACTAAAAACACCCACATTGAAACCCCAACAAAGGACTTTGTTTGAGATGAGGAAAATACCGTCTGGTTATTGGTGTAGACCTAACACAATCAACATCAATTCATTGGTTGATTTAGGTAACCATTTCCAGGATAGAAAGGAAATTTTCCGCATAGAATTATAGAGAAAATTAAATCGTCTCACAAAACAAGGAATGTTGTTGAATGAATAATGTTGCCAACCTACAAATACCCTCACACACAAGAACCACATATTAACCGGTATGTTTTAACAAACATTGCGGATTTTATTATAGTCGAGTGAAGGAATAAACACAAAGGAAGAAAAAAATCCCAATATCAACATCAGCATCAAAAATCTCAATAGGTAAAATGTAGCTGCTGCTGTTGCTATCGGTGGGTATAAAATGGTTATGGTAAACACAAACATACACACAAATATTTGGTTTTGTACAACTTTTAAAACTGTTTCCGGTATTGTATTTCTGTATACGAGGATGGTCTGGAAAATAGGGACACTTAATTAGGATAATAGAAATCTGCGGTTCAAGTAGGCTATGAAAATCTACGCCTATTATAGTCCCCTATAATGGACCTATTTCTCCAAGGACAATAATAGGCGTGGATTTTATAAATAATATTTTTACAAGGACTATAGTAGGCGTGGATTTTATTAATAATATTTTTTCCAAGGACTATAGTAGGCGTGGATTTTATAAATAATATTTTTCCAAGGACTATAGTAGGCGTGGATTTTATAAATAATATTTTTCCAAGGACTATAGTAGGCGTGGATTTTATAAATAATATTTTTCCAAGGACTATAGTAGGCGTGGATTTTATAAATAATATTTTTCCAAGGACTATAGTAGGCGTGGATTTTATAAATAATATTTTTACAAGGACTATAGTAGGCGTGGATTTTATTAATAATATTTTTTCCAAGGACTGTAGTAGGCGTGGATTTTATAAATAATATTTTTACAAGGACTATAGTAGGCGTGGATTTTATTAATAATATTTTTTCCAAGGACTATAGTAGGCGTGGATTTTATAAATAATATTTTTCCAAGGACTATAGTAGGCGTGGATTTTATAAATAATATTTTTCCAAAGACTATAGTAGGCGTGGATTTTATAAATAATATTTTTCCAAGGACTATAGTAGGCGTGGATTTTATAAATAATATTTTTCCAAGGACTATAGTAGGCGTGGATTTTATAAATAATATTTTTGGATTTTATAAATAATATTTTTCCAAGGACTATAGAGGCGTGGATTTTATAAATAATATTTTTAACGGTAAAAAAAAAGGCGGAGATTTTATAAATAATATTTTTCCAAGGACTATAGTAGGCGTGGATTTTATAAATAATATTTTTCCAAGGACTATAGTAGGCGTGGATTTTATAAATAATATTTTTCCAAGGACTATAGTAGGCGTGGATTTTATAAATAATATTTTTCCAAGGACTATAGTAGGCGTGGATTTTATAAATAATATTTTTCCAAGGACTATAGTAGGCGTGGATTTTATAAATAATATTTTTCCAAGGACTATAGTAGGCGTGGATTTTATAAATAATATTTTTCCAAGGACTATAGTAGGCGTGGATTTTATAAATAATATTTTTCCAAGGACTATAGTAGGCGTGGATTTTATAAATAATATTTTTCCAAGGACTATAGTAGGCGTGGATTTTATAAATAATATTTTTCCAAGGACTATAGTAGGCGTGGATTTTATAAATAATATTTTTCCAAGGACTATAGTAGGCGTGGATTTTATAAATAATATTTTTCCAAGGACTATAGTAGGCGTGGATTTTATAAATAATATTTTTCCAAGGACTATAGTAGGCGTGGATTTTATAAATAATATTTTTCCAAGGACTATAGTAGGCGTGGATTTTATAAATAATATTTTTCCAAGGACTATAGTAGGCGTGGATTTTATAAATAATATTTTTCCAAGGACTATAGTAGGCGTGGATTTTATAAATAATATTTTTCCAAGGATTATAGTAGGCGTGGATTTTATAAATAATATTTTTCCAAGGACTATAGTAGGCGTGGATTTTATAAATAATATTTTTCCAAGGACTATAGTAGGCGTGGATTTTATAAATAATATTTTTCCAAGGACTATAGTAGGCGTGGATTTTATAAATAATATTTTTCCAAGGACTATAGTAGGCGTGGATTTTATAAATAATATTTTTCCAAGGACTATAGTAGGCGTGGATTTTATAAATAATATTTTTCCAAGGACTATAGTAGGCGTGGATTTTATAAATAATATTTTTCCAAGGACTATAGTAGGCGTGGATTTTATAAATAATATTTTTCCAAGGACTATAGTAGGCGTGGATTTTATAAATAATATTTTTCCAAGGACTATAGTAGGCGTGGATTTTATAAATAATATTTTTCCAAGGACTATAGTAGGCGTGGATTTTATAAATAATATTTTTCCAAGGACTATAGTAGGCGTGGATTTTATAAATAATATTTTTCCAAGGACTATAGTAGGCGTGGATTTTGATTTGGTAAATGATCATTTACAAGGACTTTAATATTCTTTGATTTTTTTATCAATAATTTTTCATAGTCGTGGATTTTAAAATATATTTTTAAGGACTGTAATTGTCCTGGCTTTTTTCAAGAATAGTTGCCCCTCCGAATCTTTTATGCCCCACGCTCTTGCACATAGGCGTATATGCAAAACTCAAACATATCCTCCCGCTTTCCAAGTTTAATCCTTGGCCTTTTTGGTTGATTATGGTCGTCGTCCTCGTCTGCAAATGTATGGAGATGGATTGAAATGGATTTATGTGAATGTTGTGCTTCAACATGCCGGGATAAACATAGCCA